CGATAATCTGACACGATCATGGGCCTTCCCTAAGTCGACTCAGCCTTAAATGTGTTGTTTTCAACATGATGACTAGGGAGACAAAGGCGGCCTGGCAGACGTGGTGCTGGCCACTGTTGTATCTATGCCCTGTTTTCCGTTATTAATATTAAGAATAATTAAAAAAAAAATTGTTTTTATTATATCTATATATATTTTTTTTTAATAATGAGGACGGCTCACTCCTCCTCACGGGCACACCGGGAGTCCACGAGACATGGAGGGCGGTTGAAATGATAGGAATTCGGTCACGGAGAGGACATAGACATCCAGATGGACAAAGATGTATGGACTAGCCTCCCAGGACATCTGGAGATGTACAGATAAGGTGCAGAGTAAGTGACGGTTGCAACTCGCGTTTTCTTAACGTTTTCCTTACCGAAGAGTAGAAACTTAACAAAGATAATTAACCAACAAACAATAATATTTTTATTATTAGTATATGTTTCCTACCTACACGACCTTTCTGAAAACTAAGGAGTGCGAATTCCAGAGAGTCGGAAAGCGAGCCGCTCACCCTCTCACCGCAGCTGCGCAAGCCAGAGGGTCCTTCTCCGAAAGTCGTTCGTACCCACAACTTCCCCCACCAATAGACCCACACACGCACGCATCGACGCCCCACTCACCTGTGAGACTATCCCATCTAGTTCACCCTTACCATCGTATCAACCCTAGTCAATTATCAGAAGACTGATTATCAACTACATGAACCATCAGCGGGCCATGAGGAATCACGGCCCATCGAGTGATTAAGAGTCCGTCGGTTATAAGAGTGAGGTTATTCTCCTTGCCTTTTTCTTTTGTCCCGTTCATCGCATAGGCGATCAATAGATTCGTCGAGGCAAACTCAAACTCTCGGAATCCTCATTACGAATCGACCCATATATATAGAGAGAATATCTTGTCAAATCGGTTTTCTTTGTCAGAGAATCTCGCTGAGGAATTAATCAAAGCAGAGCCGATACTCCCTCTCACAGCACGCATCCACCCACCCTTGTCTCAAACATTTCGTTAAAAAGGATTTTATACTTGCCGATGAATCTATTGACATATACTTTCGCCTCTGGGATACAATAAGTGCTTTTTATTACCGCCATATGAAGTGTGTCATGCTTGTTATCAAACTCGGCCAGTCGCCGATTGTGATCGATACATGGGCGAACTAATGAAATGCCTGGTGGAAAGGTAGAGGTTACGACTGTTAGGAGGGTTTTGAGTTATTCAATTTAGCTAAATGCATAGTCTCGCAAATGCATAAGTGTTTATTCATTCATTTTAGTCAAATGCATAATATCGCAATTGCATAAGAGTTTTGGTTATTCATATTAGTCGAATGTATAGTCTCGCAAATGCATAAGAGTTTGGTTATTCAATTTAGTTAAATGCATAGTCTCGCAAATGAAGGAGTATTTTTAGTTATCCATTTTCGTTAAGTGCATAATCTTGCTCATGAATTATTGACACATGTTTGACCTGCATGCTAGAATGTCACATGTTTGTTTAGAATAAAATTGTTATCACAGAAGCGACTCGAGTGTTCCTTCCAAGTCCATGCAAAACTGTCTTATTCTTGACAACTGTATCCTGTGATGAGATCTGAAACTGGTGACCTAAAATATCATAACACACTAAGATAATCGGTAAACGTTTAATCGATGATAATAGTGTTATCCTGATTGATATAACACTGGATAAACGAAGCTGAGCCTAATTATCACAACTGCTCACATTAGCATAATCGCAAGCATCCGCATAAATTACTACGATTGTCTCCGTGATTATAATAGATTATGCATATAATTACACGCATTATCATAATTTATGCACATTAATACACACACTATCATAATTAATGCGATTTGCGCATTTTTCGGAAAATTATTAATTTTTATTATTTTCATCAAAATTTCATAATCCCAACACATACAACACCACCCACCCCCTCGTGTGCCATGCTGACATTCATAGGTGCTCGCTCACAGTACTTGTCCCAAGTCTATTAAGGCTACACGGGTGATCTTTGTCTTTGGACCTGTGTGTGTATGGTGAACTAAATTGTAACCAAATTATTTTAAATTTACCAGGTAAGGCCCACTGAGATGGTTTGTAGCTCTCTTTTAGAAGCGACCTGACCACAAATGATAGCTCAAAGACGTGACGTATCATCATCATCATGTGGAAATTGATAGCAGCAGGGAAAAACCCAGAGAACCCGGGGAGAAATCCATGCGACCCTGGGGAGAGATAGAGAGAGAAAACACGCAAACTCCAAATATACAGCAGGTGTCAGGGTGGTGATCGAACCCAAGACCTCCTGTATACCAGGCGAGGTAGTTAACATCTCCGAGCCAACGTGGTGACTAGGAGATGTTTGTCATCTCTCATGAAGTTGAGGTGTTTGCAAAGCTGAATAAAATCTTGTTTTTTTTTTCCCATGTTGTATTGTAATTATTGCGAGGCATGTTTTACCCAGCAGAGTCTCACCCGTATCTCAAGATTACACTAATTCTAGATTTGAAGCTTTCGTGACTGCAAGGAATCATATTCTTAGGTTTTTTCGGTAAAGTCACGTAGGAAAAAAGATTAAATTAAAATTAATAAAAGTAAAATAAATATTTAATTATATATTTTTTTAAGGTTTTTTCGGTAAAGTCACGTAGGAATTTTTTAAAAATTAAAATGAACAAGTATAATACATGTTTTTATTTTACTTTTATTAATTTAAATTTTAATTTTTTACCTACGTGACTTTACCGAAAAAACCTAAGAATAAGATAACACTGGTCAACAAAAAAAAAAAATTCTGGCCTGGACTTTTGCAGCTGTGTTAGACTAATTTCAGGGTGCTGATTCCAAATCTGATCTCAGATTTGCTCTATCACATCTCATTTTTATGCTATCGGCATACCTCATTTTCATTGATTTTACCCGAAATTAACTCTGTCACTTATGATTGCAAGTTGTTGCGAGTCAGTGACTGCTTTAGTGTTAAACTATGGTGCTGTATTTTTAGAATGGTGTGTTTATAATGTCATTTTATGTAGATATCCACATTTATTTAATATTTCTTTTCCGCAGTTTGTATTCAAAATGCAATATTCTGATATCTCAAAAACCTGATGTGATAGACAAAAACTGATGCCAAATAATAATGAAAATAAAACATAATAAAGTAATTATCACGACGTTTTATTTTTATTATTTTATTATTTCCCTTCTACCTGATGACTTTACCGAAAGAACCAAGAAGATGAATCCCTGCAGTCACGAAAGCTTTAAATCGAAATTTAAGTAGAACGTGTTGTCTGTATTTATTTAAAGTTGCGCTTTTTGATGTGACGTCACATTTCTCAAACCTCCCCCTTCCCATCGTCACACATCGTCACAAATGTCTGACATGCCCCCCTCCCCACCAGGTGCGTGACGTCATTTATGGACGGCCCCAAAGGCCCCACTGTTCCGCTGCGACCTGGCCAAATGACAGCTCAACGACGTGTCGGCTTATCATCATCATCCCGTGGAAATTAGCATCAGCCAAATAAGTACAAATGTTGATCCTGAGAAGGGACGCGCAGACAGCCTCGATTTGAAGTTTTCGTTTCTGCAGGGATCCACAAACTCTTTGGTTCTTTCGGTAAAGTCACGTGGGTATTAAATGAAGTAGATTAAATCACGACGTTTCGGGCGCAACACAAGCAATCATCGTCAGGTGGGAAAAACTACAGCAAGAAAATTTTTTGGCTCAAATTTTCTTGCAAGAATATTTTTTTTTGCTGTGATTTTCTTGCATTAATTTTTTTTTGCCGAAATCTTCTTGCTAGAATTTTTTTTGCTCAAATTTTCTTGCAATAATTTTTTTTGCTCAAATTTTCTTGCAATAATTTTTTTTGCTCACATTTTTTTTGCCGAAATCTTCTTGCTAGAATATTTTTTGCTCAAATTTTCTTGCAAAAATATTTTTTTTTGCTCAAATTTTCTTGCAATAAATTTTTTTTGCTCAAATTTTCTTGCATTAATTTTTTTTTGCTGAAATCTTCTTGCTAGAATTTTTTTGCTGAAATTTTCTTGCAATAAATATTTTTTTTTGCTAAAATTTTCTTGCAATAATTTTTTTTGCTGAAATCTTCTTGCTAGAATTTTTTTGCTCAAATTTTATTGCAATACATTTTTTTTTTGCTCAAATTCTCTTGCCGTGGTTAACCCACCTCATGATGATGATTATGATTGCTCGTGTCGCGATCGAAACGTCGTGATTTACTTTATTTATACCCTACGTGACTTTACCGAAAGAACTAAAGACGCACAGACTCCAAATATAAAGCAGCAGGCATTCGTCAGGTTCGGGGTCGAACAGACCGAAGCCACCGGCCATAGTCACGGTGGGCTGTCATAATCCTCGCAGCTGATTGGATAAGAGCCCCACAGAAGACACGCCCTCTATCGTCCGTCTCATGAATATTCATGAGTTGGAAGAGGAGCTGATTGGATAACAATGCGCCTGAAGCCACGCCCATAGTCACGGTGGGCTGTCATAATCCTTGCAGCTGATTGGATAAGAGTCTCCACGTCCATCGCAAGAGCTGATTGGCTAAGAGCCTGCCGAAGCCACGCCTCCATATCGTCCATCTCATGAATATTCATTTATTTAACGAGGTAAGAGCTGATTGGATAACTGGCTGAAGCCACGCCCTTCCCCACTGTGGGCTGTCATAATCCTCGCAGCTGATTGGCTAAGAGCCCCAGCAGGAAGACACGCCCTCTATCGCCCGTCTCATGAATATTCATGAGATAAACAACACGCAGAAGAGAGCTGATTGGATCACCGATCCGAAGCCACGCCCATTCACCGTGGGCCGTCGTAATCCTCGCAGCCGATTGGATAAACGCCCGGCTGAAGACACGCCCATACATCGCCCGTCTCATGAATATTCATGAGCTCGCGGGAGGGAGTTGACCAATCAGACGCGTGGCTCGCGGTACGTCCGGGTGCAAAGCAGCTCAGATCGCCCATTGCTCTTAGCGCAGTGGGACTCAACTGAATTGGTAAGACGACGTTATAATCTTTAATATTTTTAAATTTTTAAGCGCACGCGTCCACACTTCACCTATGTTTCGCACCCCTTTAAATCACGTCGTTGTTGTTACATCTTTTAATTTTATTTCGCTGTTTTTTCCGTTGCGTGCGGTTACTTTAGGACGTTTTCTTGTTTCCGATTTAAAGCTTTCGTGACTGATTCATCTTCTTGGTTCTTTCGGTAAAGTCACCACGTAGAAGGGAAATAAAAAAATAAAAAAAATAATTCTAGATTTGAAGCTTTCGTGACTGCAATGATTCATACGCTTAGGTTTTTTCGGTAAAGTCACGTAGGGAAATAAATAAATCAATAACGCTTTTTTATATTAATTATAGTAGAAATACAATAATAAATTACGACGTTTCGTGTTGCCTCCGAAAAAAAAACCTAAGAGTATAATAAAATAAAACAATAAAATTATTACGACGTTTCGGCCACAACGCAGGATGCTTGCGTTGTGGCCGAAACGTCGTACGAATTTTATTTTGTTACATTTTTATTATTTTATTATTTCCCTTCTACGTGACTTTACCGAATATTATGTTTCTTATTCATGTTTTGGTTGCACCCCGAGTCAAGAGCTGCATCAATCATGGGGCTATACCGAATACATGAACACTGACACTTTAACGTTGTAACAGAAGCGCTTTATAGCTCATATGGTTTAATCCTCCCCCTCCCTCCCCACCCAGCAGTGAGCCGGACGCAACGTGGAGCCATGAAGGACGACGTCGTCATCGTCTCCGCCGTTCGCACTCCCATCGGTTCGCTCCAATGTTCACTGAGTGGGGGGGGGGGGCTGTGAGATGTTGACTACCTCGCCTGGTACACAGGAGGTCGTGGGTTCGATCCCGTCCCTGATATCACAGTGGCTAGGAGATGTTGACTACCTCGCCTGGTACACAGGAGGTCGTGGGTTCGATCCCGACCCTGACACCACAGTGGCTGTGAGATGTTGACTACCTCGCCTGGTGCACAGGAGGTCGTGGGTTTGATCCCTACCCCCCAATCGCCACGCTGGCGAGATGTTGACTACCTCAGACTCACACAGAGACCCACAGACTCACACAGAGACCCACAGACTCACACAGAGACCCACAGACTCGCACAGAGACCCGCAGATTCACACAGAGACCCACAGACTCACACAGAGACCCACAGACTCACGCAGAGACCCACAGACTCACGCAGAGACCCACAGACTCACGCAGAGACCCACAGACTCACACAGAGACTCACACAGAGACCCACAGACTCACACAGAGACCCACAGACTCGCACAGAGACCCGCAGATTCACACAGAGACCCACAGACTCACACAGAGACCCACAGACTCACGCAGAGACCCACAGACTCACACAGAGACCCACAGACTCACACAGAGACCCACAGACTCGCACAGAGACCCGCAGATTCACACAGAGACCCACAGACTCACACAGAGACCCACAGACTCACGCAGAGACCCACAGACTCACGCAGAGACCCACAGACTCACGCAGAGACCCACAGACTCACACAGAGACTCACACAGAGACCCACAGACTCACACAGAGACCCACAGACTCGCACAGAGACCCGCAGATTCACACAGAGACCCACAGACTCACACAGAGACCCACAGACTCACGCAGAGACCCACAGACTCACACAGAGACCCACAGACTCACACAGAGACCCACAGACTCACACAGAGACCCACAGACTCACGCAGAGACCCACAGACTCACGCAGAGACCCACAGACTCACGCAGAGACCCACAGACTCACGCAGAGACCCACAGACTCACGCAGAGACCCACAGACTCACACAGAGACCCACAGACTCACACAGAGACCCACAGACTCACACAGAGACCCGCAGATTCACACAGAGACCCACAGATTCACACAGAGACCCACAGACTCACACAGAGACCCACAGACTCACACAGAGACTCACGCAGAGACCCACAGACTCACACAGAGACCCACAGACTCACACAGACTCACACAGAGACTCACAGACTCACGCAGAGACCCACAGACTCACACAGAGACCCACAGACTCACACAGAGACTCACACAGAGACCCACAGACTCACAGAGAGACTCACAGACTCACAGAGACCCACAGACTCACACAGAGACTCACACAGAGACTCACAGACTCACACAGAGACCCGCAGATTCACACAGAGACCCACAGACTCACGCAGAGACCCACAGACTCACACAGAGACCCACAGACTCACACAGAGACTCACGCAGAGACCCACAGACTCACACAGAGACCCACAGACTCACACAGAGACTCACACAGAGACTCACAGACTCACGCAGAGACTCACAGACTCACACAGAGACCCACAGACTCGCACAGAGACCCGCAGATTCACACAGAGA